TTTTTGTGAGACATCAAAGTCCAATTCTCACGTTTCCATAGTAAAAAATCTAAAAAAATGAAGTATAGTTTTGCTGTGATACATTTTTTTATCAATTCTAAGTATTTTAGATATATATATTTCAGCGTCTATACCTCCAAATGATATAATTCTTGCAGCATTAGAAAGTAATTCAAAGAGTTACAACTTTCATGTTTTGTGAAGAGCTGATTCGGCCTTGTTAATCAACTTTTTTGGCTTCAAATAGGATTCGTGCGCGGATCCCTAACGATCCGCTTGCGAATTAGTTATAATCGGCATTGATTATCTGGTCTTTACACCGGAGTTTCTCTTGTCCCAATGATCGGCGCTGGATTTTGGGCCAATCTTTGGGCCAGTTTTCATAGAAAAAATGCACGAAAACGTGATTTTTCAGCTTGAATAAAGCCTAATCCTACCCTATTTAGGATACATCTTTAAGAAACTATAAATAGGGGCTGTTTAGAACCTTTTTAGGGGACAAAACATTAGGCTAAATTTTGGTTCATCTTTTTTACATATGTTTCTTGAGAGATCAAGAAAAAGAGATGGAAGAATTAAGGAGAAACTAATATAGGGATTGAAGCCAGACAACTGAGAACTTTTCTTTACTTTATTCCCCCTTATACTGTAGTTATTTCTTGAATTCTTGGTTTTAATTATGAATGTGTTGAACTAATTTCATTCTAGGGTTAGGATTTTGTCAAAGAGATTGGATTATTTGTTTTAGTTAATTTTTCACTTTTGCCTTGATTTATCTATTTTATTTTAATTACATGTTTGTGATTGTCACTATAAACATACTCTTAGGGTTTGTATTGAACTGAGAAGGGATATACAATCATGTATTAAATAGATAAACATACTTAGTCTAATCATAAGAATTTGTATGACATAACTATATCATCTAAGATTTCAAAGGGTTTTATTAAATTCTTATGATCTCGAAAGACGTGAGATTTAATTAGATACAACTTGGATGTATCAAAAGATAATCTAAGGTACATGCATGTGATATGTTCTGGTATCGAGAGATAATTGAAGGTACTTGTGTGTGATATGTTGTTAGCATTTTAAGAAACTAGTTGGATAATTAAGTCAAACCCTGGATCAAAATCTGAAACCCTATGCTTTTGCCAACTGTTTTCTAAACTCTATTTAATTTGCCTTGATTATTTGTTCTTTTTTTTTAGTCATAGATTAAAACCTCTTTGAATTTGAATTCTATTAATTATCTAGAATAATTAAAGTAGAGAAAATTAACTCGTTCCCGTGATTCGACCCTAGAATATTACAAGTGATTTTATTATTATGATTAATCATGTATACTTGTAGGAAATTATCGATGGATAAAACCATCAAACATGTTTCAAAGCATTCTCACTAAGCCATCCAAATTCTTTTACATTTTCTATTCGACACATGATAGAGAAACAAAATGAAAACCCACCATCACGGTGTTGTATATTTGTCTTTTTTTCTTTCTCTTTTCCTCTTTGGAGTAAGCAACATGTCATATATATACTTTGGTAAAACGTAAACAAGTGAACAAATTGCGAGATAAATAACTTAGTATTGAGATAATGCTGAATTTGATACATGGTAAAGCTGTACAAATGTTAATTGAAACAAGCTACTTAATGCAAGAAATACCATCAAGTTTAAAAGATTAACATGCCCCGCGGGTAGTCCGACTGGTTCTGTAGTCTCATTTTTACCAGCAGATTCCGTGTTCGACTTCCGCAAGGTTATGTTTCCTTAGAACAAAACTCTATACAATTTTAGGGGATTAGCCTGGCTAAAAGGTGGGACACCCTTAAGTGAAAAATAAAATAAAAGATTAACACGACTAATATGATAAACACCATTCAAACAAAATTTAACTAGTTACAAAATTTGAATTTTGCTTGCGTTAAACTTATAAACAACAAAATCCAAGAAAATAAGCTACAAAAAGAAGTCCTAAATGGAAAGTAAAAACAGCCACAGGCTACATATTAGAAACACATAATTATGTCTTTCGACATCCTCTCTGCATGCAATGAAATCAACGTAGATGTCTATAGGACCCTATAGTATTGCACATTATTTGTTCCAATAATAATTATATGTTTCATCACAAGGAATTACCTGTCAAGTTATCAAGGGAACATATTTTTGCAGTGACATTCCCGTTATCTAAACGACATCACAATATATATATACCCACCTAATTTTCTATACGCGTCAAGAAGGGAAACGTTTTGAAAGTGGGTTATCCCAGTACAGAGGAAGAAAAGTCTGCGAGCGTGTGGACAACAAACACATCGGAAGGTTCGCGAAGAAGACCCAAAGGTTGACCTGAAGTTCTTACAAAAGCTACCACTGTGAATGGGACAATGATAAATGACACCACAGGCGATATATGTTTTGTAATGATGTCTAAATTTACAGCCAGTATAAATCAAGAAAGCTACTCTTAAATGATGTTTGGTGAAGAAGACCCAAAGGTTAACTTAAAGTTCTTGCAGAAGCTGCCAGGGTGAAAAGGACCGCGATAAATGACGCCGTATAGGGGATGTATGTTTTTGAATGATCTCGAACATTACAGCTAACATAATTCAAGAAAGCCACTCTTAATGTCATATTTTTATTTCATTTTATTTAAATGTCAATATCACCTTTTCTTCGTAAATGTTTCTAACTATTCCCTTCCCTTCATTTCTTCCTCAAATTTGCATAAAAATATGTTTGTCTCTATATATACACAATGTGTATATACACTGTGTGTGTGTATATATATATAGGCACACATATACACTATATCAAAATTAAAGTACCAATATGATTTGGTAATTTAGTAATTTAGTTTTCACTTTTCAATAATAACCTTGCATAAGATTAATTGTAACTATTATATGATTGCAAATTATAATGTGATTCTAATATTATTGAGGGTATTTGTTTATTTTAAAGTAAATTTGGAATTATAGTTAGATTCAAAATAAAATTACCCTTATGTCAATTTGTTAAGAAAAGGAGATTACTTTGGAAAGAGTACTAAATTCGGAATTGTAATCAAAAGTTAGGCCAACCAATGTTACTTGGAATTGAAATGGTATTCAGATTGAGATTAATTGGATATTGGTTTTAATAGGCTATGTCTTGCACCAAAATGCCACTTAAAACCTCAATGTTATACTTATACCACAAACCCTAGCTCAATGGAAATTGTCCCCGTTTCATTTTTCTATTTTCTTCCTTTTCTCCCAAAGAAATTTGGAAAGCTCTGCGGTTTACATCATGGAAAAGTTAGAAAGAACCCCTTTAGTTAAGGTCTATTAGGATGATCCATTGTGATGTTTCCAAAATTTGTTTCACTTCAAGCAAACTGTAAATGTGGTACCTTAAGAAAAACAGTAAATGTGGTTTTCTATGTAATATTGATATAAAGGTATACACGAAATAAATTCCTAAACTTTTTTTAGGAATAAATCTTGAATTGGCAAGAAATTGTTTGGGAATCGGAAAAGTTGAAAGATTCTTTTTAGTTAAGATCCATTGGACCCCCAACTAATGTTTTATAGCGATCATTCTTGCAATTATTTCACTTCAAGCAAATAGTAAATATGGTTTATAGTCACTACATTATACTGACATAAAATTTTTCAGAACAAGTTTGGCTATTCTTTTGAGGAATAAAATGTTGAATTGGAAGAAAATTGTTTCATATGTCCGTGGAGATAGGACATTGTCTCGTGATGGCCTAAAAGGCTACGTAGATATTAAAAGAATAATTATAGTAGGAAGACTTTCTATCTTGAACTAACTTAGACTTTCAAAGATAATTATTTTTGTTAACTTCCTGATTCAAGGACATATTAGGATTGTAGTTTTCTAAAGAAAATTTTTTTTAGTTCTCCATTTTTTGTTATTTGTACTTCCATCATTTGTTTTATCACATAGTCTAACAAATGAAAACTATATGATTAAAATGATATTCTGAGTGTAATTAACAAAAATAGGAGTGTAAATATCATTTTCCTATTTATTTTACATGACTTTTAATGATTAATTTCTGAAAGTAGTGTTCGTTTGTAAGGAAAAATGTAAGATAGTGAAGGAAACATATATTGTTTATTCCTTTTGGTTTACAGGAAAGTTGAAAAGTTTTCTTTTAAACAAGAAGATTGATATCAAACAAACTTTTAAACAATTAAATTTTCTTTTAATTAATTATCATGAATTATAAACGCTTGTAGAGAGTGTCACATATAGTTTACTATATGTAAGTTGTTTTCTAGTAGCCATTAAATATGACATTATTATTAGTACAAGTATACGAGAGAGATGTATAATTCTGTTCATTCGTATATAAGACTACTGAAAGACAGAAAAGTACTAGAGGCCGTGCTGTGTTTACAGCGGAGGAGCTAGCAAGTATTTCAGCCACACAAAAAGAGAAGGATGAGTTTTCTTTTACAGTGAGAAAACGAAGCAATCCTCGAGTGTGTTATGTGAAGTTGGAAGTTGCCTGGGAACACACCACCCAAAACCCACGATACTAGATGAGGAAGTTGCCTGAAATTTCACTACTTGTGGTAAGGCAAACATTGATGCAGGTGTAAGAGATAATAAGCAATTAATTTTATGCTTTCGGGGGAAAATTTCATGCAACATTGACTAGGGGCCTTCTACTATTAAATGTTGATCATCAACAATATACTATCTAATTATATATAAGCAAATGTACGTTTTGAACTGTTCGGATGGCGGCTAACGCGTGTACCAACCGTGTTAATAAGTTTATATACTCCAGATATCGCAGCAACCGTGTACCAACCGTGTACCAACCGCGTATACGCAAGATATCGCAGCAAAAGTTTATAATAGCAATTTTGGGTTCTCCTGTACAATCTGTTAATGTTCTCAAATTTTGAAAAGAAAGCTTGAAAATTGCGAACCTAGTGGCTAGATTTGTAGTGATTTAGAAAGAGGAGAAAATGGAAAGTGAAGGAAGCTCAGATGTCTATGAATCGGAAGAAGAGTTTGATTCTCCAGATACGGAAGAAGAGTTTGATTCTCAAGAGATAAGAGAAGAAGCACGGCCAGGTTCCCCCCACACCGATGTGGAACTATCTCATAACATCCATGGTAATCGCAGTTCCCATGGTGATGGTGTACATCTGGAGGCCGGTGGTGAACCTAGCAATCTAGATCAAGCTCCAAATGATGAAGTTCATAATGATGAAATTTCGGAAGAAGTTCCAGCTGATGGAGCTCCAGATGATGAGGTTCCTGATGAACAAATCGAGCAACATGTTCCTTTCTCGGTAGCAATCACCGTCGACGTCCCAGGAGATGGTCAAATGGCGGCCGTACCACCACATTTTCGTAAAGTAGATGAAATGTCCTATACCCCCAAACTGGTCTCCATCGGCCCTATTCATCATAATAGGAAGAGTTTGTGGCTGACGAAAGAAAAGAAAAGGCAGTTTCTTGGGACTTTTCCGGATGAGAAGAACAAAGAATTACGATGGAAAATGGGAAAATGGGAGGCGAGAGTTAGAAGATGCTATTCAATGACTTTCCAAGGGATAAGCAGCGCTGATTTCGTGGACATGCTGGTGATTGATGGTTGCTTCATTGTATTACTACTTCGCCTCGATCACAAATGGAGCAAGGTAACCTTAATTACCATCAACTAGTAGCTAGTCATTTATTTGTTTGGTTTGGATAAATTATTGTAAATTTCTGCCATTCTTGCCCACTCATTAGTTAACATATGAAACATAAGAAAAGAAAGCTTGCTATTCTGGGGTGGATTTTAGTAACAATGTACCATTAATTTTATGCAGGAGGGAGTTGATGCTACTGACAACCCTATATTTTCAACAAGATGGATGCTGCCAGAAATTGGTCGTGACTTGTTGATGATTGAAAATCAGCTTCCTTTGTTCGTGCTTAAGGAGATATTTAACGTAACAAAGCTAATGCCTAATGAAACTTCTTTTGAAGAAGTTGCTCTCGAATTTTTCAAATCCTATCACATTGGAAAGGAAGCTATGGTCATCAAGAAACACCATACAGAAGGCCACCATGAACATTTACTTGATTTGTTTCATTCCTTGTATTTAACACCCAAATCTTCTGATTCAGGTGCAGCTCAAAAAAGACGGAAAAACAAGAAACCACTCATGGACCGCCCAAGTGTGCGAGGTAAAAACTGGGTACCGAGTGCCACAGTATTAAAATCCTCTGGTGTTAGATTCTATGCAAAGGAAGGTAACTCCCTTGAAATCCAGTTCAGAAGGGGAAGATTGAGCGGAATATTGAGTATTCCCAGCATTTCCATTGATGAGAGCTCTATTATCATCCTTAAAAACTTGTTGGCATATGAACAAAGCTCTAGAGGTATAGAACCATTATTTACCTCTCTAGTGTTGTTCTTTTCCAGCATGGCATCTGTGCCTGATGACATCAAACTCCTAAGAGAAGCATCCATCATTCTCCACCAGCCTGGTGATGATCAAATGCTCATTGAAGTCCTGAAACTTCTCAGCAAGCAGCTAGAGTGCGACGTGAGGGATTGCTCCATGAAACAGCAGGTGGAAGATATCAGAGCATTTTGTGGTTGCAACTTAGTCAAATTTTGGAACGCCATAGGACGCAGTCTTGCACAAAATGCAGCCGGTTTCATTTTGATGTACGTGGCTTTAGTTTTAACCTTTTCAGTGGACAACTTTCGTTTTAGATTATGACCATGGGCTTGATTGAATGGTCGATACAAATTGGGTCTGTCTTTTTTTTTTTTTTTCTGAAGTGCTGACTTTGGTGAAGGATAGAGGACATTATAAGTTATGACAAAATATTAGTGTCGGCAAATTATAAATTTTTTTGTTTGGATGAATGTGCTATTTGATGATCAAGTTGTTATTATCAATCAAGCTTGACTTTAATTATACTCCAAAGCAAATGGTATCAAAATTGGACTATCTACTTTTCTTACATATTCATATGTAATTTTTTGATGTAACATCTTGCAATGTTTTGTTATGTATATTATATAAGAGGTATGCCTGTCTTATCTATATATATATATATATGTATATATACATATATATATCTACTTTTCTTACATATTCATATGTAATTTTGATGTAACATCTTATATTATATAAGAGGTAGCCTGTCTTTCCTATATATATATGTATATATATATATAGGTTGATTGGTATATTGTCTTTAGCTTTGCAGAAAGAAAAAAGATGTTGTAGTTGCAGGAAATACATACTTATATGTATATATACATATATATATATCTACTTTTCTTACATATTCATATGTAATTTTGATGTAACATCTTATATTATATAAGAGGTAGCCTGTCTTTCCTAGATATATATATATATATATATAGGTTGATTGGTATATTGCCTTTAGCTTTGCAGAAAGAAAAAAGATGTTGTAGTTGCAGGATATACATACTTATATGTATATATACATATATATATCTACTTTTCTTACATATTCATATGTAATTTTGATGTAACATCTTATATTATATAAGAGGTAGCCTGTCTTTCCTATATATATATATATGGGTTGATTGGTATATTGTCTTTAGCTTTGTAGAAAGAAAAAAGATGTTGTAGTTGCAGGAAATACATACTTATACACACACACACACATATATATATATAGTATATATACATATATATATCTACTTTTCTTACATATTCATATGTAATTTTGATGTAACATCTTATATTATATAAGAGGTAGCCTGTCTTTCCTATATATATATATATTCATAAGTTAGATATTTTAAATCCAAATTTAAAAATTAGCACAGCAAAAATAGAAGCTAGTAATGATGATATAAAAGAATTCGAAATGCATATAGCTGACCTAAATAAGTTAAAAATAATTAGAAGAAGTACTAGTCCACACAGAAGTGCAGCATTTATAGTTAAAAAACATAGTGAAATAGTTCGAGGAAAAAGTAGAATGGTAATAAATTATAAAAGATTAAATGACAATACTAAAGAAGATAGCTATGATATACCAGATAAAAATGAGTTAATAAATAGAATCCAATATAGATATATTTTCAGTAAATTTGATTGTAAGTCAGGATTTTGGCAGGTAAAAATGCATAAAGAAATTGGACTATCTACTTTTCTTACATATTCATATGTAATTTTTTGATGTAACATCTTGCAATGTTTTGTTATGTATATTATATAAGAGGTATGCCTGTCTTATCTATATATATATATATGTATATATACATATATATATCTACTTTTCTTACATATTCATATGTAATTTTGATGTAACATCTTATATTATATAAGAGGTAGCCTGTCTTTCCTATATATATATGTATATATATATATAGGTTGATTGGTATATTGTCTTTAGCTTTGCAGAAAGAAAAAAGATGTTGTAGTTGCAGGAAATACATACTTATATGTATATATACATATATATATATATCTACTTTTCTTACATATTCATATGTAATTTTGATGTAACATCTTATATTATATAAGAGGTAGCCTGTCTTTCCTATATATATATATATATATATATATATATATATATATATATATATATATATATATAGGTTGATTGGTATATTGCCTTTAGCTTTGCAGAAAGAAAAAAGATGTTGTAGTTGCAGGATATACATACTTATATGTATATATACATATATATATCTACTTTTCTTACATATTCATATGTAATTTTGATGTAACATCTTATATTATATAAGAGGTAGCCTGTCTTTCCTATATATATATATGGGTTGATTGGTATATTGTCTTTAGCTTTGTAGAAAGAAAAAAGATGTTGTAGTTGCAGGAAATACATACTTATACACACACACACACATATATATATAGTATATATACATATATATATCTACTTTTCTTACATATTCATATGTAATTTTGATGTAACATCTTATATTATATAAGAGGTAGCCTGTCTTTCCTATATATATATATATATATATATATATATATATAGGTTGATTGGTATATTGTCTTTAGCTTTGCAGAAAGAAAAAAGATGTTATAGTTGTAGGAAATACATACTTATACACACATATATATATAGCTAGCAAGCAGAAAAGTAAAGGATTACCCTTTCTTTTTATTGTTTTTTCCCTAAAGGGAAACCCAACTTTGGAGGTTGTCAAAAATCCCTACCATAGTTAGTTAATCATTGGCGATAGGGGTGTCAACGAATCGTTCAAATGATCGACTCGAGTTCGGTCAAATCGAGCTCAAGTCGATCTCGAACTATTCGAATATCGAAACAAATCGAATTTGAGCCTAAAAATGTTATGCTCGATAATTAAGCTCGCGAGCTTTTCGAGCTTAAGGTATATTTAAATATATATAATTTTATATTTATAAAATGACTTATATATATATAGTTGTAAGTTTAATTACATGTTGTACCTATTAAAATTCAAAATATAATAGGGGTATTATTGTCTTTCCAGATAATTCTTTAAAAAAAAAAGAAATTCAAATATTATAGTGTAATTAGGTCAAGCTTCAAGCAACTTCAGAATCTTGTCCGCCGTCTTCTTGAAGAGCTCCTCACCTCAATCCCTAAAATCCCAATTCCTCACCTCAATCCCTAATCCCAATTCCAAATCAAACTCATTCGGCAAGATTTAACTCCAGTCGTTTCTTTTCTCTATTGTCATCCTCCGTCGATTGGAAGTGGATTGTGCAACAAGTGTAGCCGTGCAGCTAGCGGAAGGTGGATCTTGGAAGCAGGTGCAGGCGTGCAGAAGGTAAGATGTGATCCTTTTTGTACTTTGTGGCTTCGAATGCTTTTCATTCTTTTGCTTATCAGCTTTCTTTGGTCATCGAAGATGAATAATTAGAGACCTTTAGAGAATCTACACCTTGGGCTTACCTTCGAATTACCAAGTGCTCGGACCTTCTCCTTTGTGAATCTGCACCTTAATATGCAATTCAACGCCCTCTCTGCTGGACTAGACTAGAATTCTGAGTATTTATTTAGGGCCCTTTGAGATTAGGCAGGTTTTTAACAATTTAATTTAGTTGAGTTCAAAATGAACTGAGTGTATCCGAAATGAGAAAAAAAATAAATATGAGGTTTTCTTCTTTTTTTTTTTGGTTTTCTACTATTAAATTTCAGAATTGGGGTTTAGGATTTTATACTTTCCGAAAAGCTTGTAGATGGAATATAGATTTTTTGGATCTTCTTTTTTTTTTTTTGGAAAATCAATGATTTTTTAACTTTAATTTGAGGAAGCAGAGAAATGCTAGTACTAATTGTTAAAGCAAAATAGTAATAATAAAGTTTCTCCTCCGGGTATATTGCTAGATTTGTGGAATGCCGCCATTATTAAATGTTTGTTTCTAAATGAAAAAACCGCTAGACAAGGCTGGCTAGTTTTTGTAAGGCAATGACTTGCAACTGTTCTCCTTTAACACTAAAAGACTACCATATATATTCATGCTTTGGTAGTTGGCTTTCTTTATTTGATCAGATGCTCAAATGATTACAATAATGGACTTCAAGGCAAGGATCATTTTCTTTTCGTTTTAGGCATGTTTTTTTTATAGAGAATGGATTGAGTTGCAATTAGAGTTATGATACAAAAGAATTCAGTATTCCAATGTCTATTACAATGATAATTTCTCCCTAGTAAAGGATAAGTTCTGACGACCTTTTGAGACTCATGGTTTTCAAGTGATTCCTGCAAAATCTGTATAGAAAAGCTCTTAAAAGTAGTTTGTGAATGGCACTTTCAAATTCATGTTATTGATACAACATTAGTTTATTACTTATTGTTATTCTTATTATTATTATTATTATTTTGCAGAAATTAAAGGCAGCAAAAGAGATTCTACTTCCCATAAAACAAATGTGATAATTGGAAAGGTACATAGTTTGTGTTTAATACTTCGATTCCTCTTCAAATATGTTGTTTTAGATTTTACCACTACTATTTTATTACTTAAATTATTTTTTTGTGATAGGGCCTGCAGTTGACATATCTGGAATTCATAAGCAAAAGTTGGAAAGGATTATCGTGGAATGGACAAGAAGTTGCTGTTTTACTGCTTTAATTGCAAAATTTGTTTCACTTTTTTAAGTATGGTTATTTCTTGACAATTGACATTGCCTTTTGAAGACATTCACTTGAATGTTGACACTTTGTCTTTGTTTTTTCTATTTGTGTGACTTGGTGGATGTTGGTTGTCTGACTTATCTCTGAATTTGGATGCTGGTTTTGATGTTAAAATATGTATGGATGAATTTGGATATTGGTTGGCATAACGGTTGCAAATTTTTTGACAGTTTGATGCTTTGGACTTTAAATTGATATTTAAAGCTAGCTTGTCTCAGATTCTCAATCATATGGATGAGTTTGGACAGTGCTATTTAGTAATGTATAGCAGAGCTTGTATATTCCATTTTCAAGATTGTATCAAGTCTGTCCATCTTTGTGATTCATATGCATTTTGTCTTGATGTAACTTTGTACATAAATTGAGATTTATACTTGAAGTTTTGCATTTGCATTAGCTTGTCATTTCCCCAACAATATTTGTTAGGGAATGTCACTGCCAAGGTGATTTGGTTCAGATAAAAGACTGAATGAAAGAGCAAATTCTGCTTGCTTAGAATAGTAGATTGTTTGATTCAGCAGGCTTTAAACGAGAACAATTTTTAATGGTTCGAGCTCGACCGCCATTCGA